TGCGAGGTAACCCTGGCTGCCGGCGTGCAGGCCTGTAGCTGCTCCCCGCCCCGGGTGTCGCCTGTTGAGGTCAGAGCTGCTGCGTTCATTAAATTGTTCCTAATGAAAGTCCATTTTAGCTCTCGGTCTAGTCCCACCTCATGTACGTTTCCAGACACCACTGCTTTGTCCCTGGCTCCTGCCCTGCAGTTCAATGTTGGGGGGGAACTGGACAACTAATCCTGCTTCAATTAAACTGCAGCCATTAATAATTTCTGAGCGCTCATCTTTTCTGTAACTTAATTGTAGTGATTTAGCACTTACAACCTGAGTAATGTGCAGTTATAGGTAATAATTGGTATCCCAGATGGGCAGGCCTTGATTGAAGAAGCAGTGGAGTAGTTCATCATGGTAGGGGAATCTGATTATTGTGAAGGTAGAGTGGTGTAGAGTATGAGGGTCGAACTATAAGGTTGATAAATAAACCAGCTATGATTGCAAAGCTTTCTTTTGTGGTCTGGAAGTAAAGCGGTGGGCCTAATTCTCTTTTTTGTGAAACTTTTGCAGATACCTGTCTTGTCTGAAATTAATTTAAAATGCTACTGCTAGGCTGAGATAGCAATATCTTCCACCCGCTTTGTTCTGTCTTTCCATCCACTGAAGAAAGGCAGCCCTCTGGGAGATGCAGAGGTTAGGCCTGCTTAGGCCTTGTCTCTGCTCATTTAACTGAAATTGGGTGTACTGTTTTGATTAGCTAAATGTGTAACTTCAAGCTTTCTTAAACTTGGTTTGAATTGTTTTAGCTTTCTTTGGCAATTTACTGAATGAAGGTAACCAAATTAGAGATAGTAAATCTACTTAGCCAAATTAGTATAAATTCACTTACAGAGACAAGGCCCTGGAAAGATGGTAGATACTGATGGTGCCACATTTGTCATTTTGTTGTTGTTCAAATGCCAGGAATCCCTTTGGCTTCAATTTTGAAAAGTTTGCTTAATAGTTTGACTAGGTGCCCTTGAAGCTATAGAGTATTTTGCCATTGATATTGACTGCTGAGAAAGTAGTTCTTCAATCTGCTTAAAATCTAAGGGAGGAATTTGGTATGTGTATGTCGAAATTATTTCGGTAGGCATCTTTAGGCACCTCACATTTGGTCTGTATTCCTTGTCTCCAGGAATTTAAAGGTTTATTCTGCTGGATATTTTCTATCGTCTGATTTTTTTGACAACAATGATTAAAAATGAAATGATAACACTAAATTTTGTGAGAGGCAATAAAGTTGAGTTTCAAAGGAGATTGTCAAGGGATGTACTTGTACAATGGCAAAGGAGAAGAAATATCTCCTTTGTGGGAACTGAGAGGATGTCTGGAACGTGGCCAACGTTCACATTGTAGAAAGTACATCAAACTGTGCTAGGAGACGTCAGGTGGCGAGGGTTTTAAGGACCTATCTTAGGGTAAGAAAATGGATTATAGGACCACAGGATAATTCATGCGAGAAGGGACTTCAGGAGGTGTAAAAGAGGGTCAGCTGTGAGGCCAGACCAGGTTGCTCAAGGCTTTATCCAGTCAGGTCTTGAAAACCTCAAAGGATGTGAAGGCTGTACAGCCTCTCTGGGCAACCTCTTCCAGGGCTTGATTGTCCTCATGATAAAAAAGCTTTTCCCTGTGTATAGTCAAAACCTCTCTTGCTTCAATTACCGTAAGAAGCATGTTTCTGTTGTTGGAAACACTTTTTGCCATGTAAGACCTGATATCTCAGGGGCATTGAGTGCTTCCGATTTCTAGGACGTCAGTAGAAGTAGTGCATCCTTTGTGCCAGTTAGGCTCCCGGTATTAGCGGCCAGTTTTGACCTTATGATCTAACAGGGGGATGAACTCAGCTCTGTTCTTAAAAAGTAGTGAATAGCAGTGGTAGAAAGGGAGATTCATCAGTCTTACAGCTAGCTTGGGTACCAGTTGTGTAACAGTATGGCTCTCATGTATTTACCTGTCTTGGGCAAACTTTGTGGCCTGCCTGCACACTCTCTAAGCTAACAAGTTTAGTGGTAGCCTGGGATATTTTTACCGTTCTGTTGTGACTTCACTGTAGACATACTTCTTAAAGGCTAGTAAAACATTACAATGTTGGTCCGAGATGAACTTTCCTACCATTGAAAAAAAAAAAATAAAATTTGCAAACTTAAAA